ACCCTACCCATAATATGATAAACGGAGTCTTGCAAAAGAGTGATACTTAATCTATATAACTCAATATTTTCAAGGCCAATAAAAGGTAAATACAAGACATTCTTACTGCGCTACCTCCACTACACGAGGAACAATGTGTGGTGTGCTGATCTACTGCATCCATGCTCTGCAAGAAAGGTGATTTTTCAAGGTTTCTTCAGTAATGATTTGTTGCGAGCGACGGTAGACTTACATTTGGTACAGTTAAGTGTAACTACATCTTAATCTACTCAACTGTATTCACACTGCCTCATAACGGCGTATATGCTTGTGTTCCGTGTCGATTCCCAAAATGAAACTATGTGCTAATCCAGAAATCTGTACGTAAAAATACTTAGCGTGAAACCAACAAACAAACAACAAGTTGTAACAAATGTATTACAAAATCCAAGTTTACAAATCAATACAAATTACAATGGATTGGTTGTGCAATATTCAAAGGCAATATGTAATACGATGGCAGTGATCAGTATCAAGTTAAAATATACACTGGTGATATCAAAAGTCAGTGGCAAAGGTATGTGTTCACCCATCGGTGACAGTGGTCAAGCTTCCGAGACGGGCTAGGCAGTTAATCAGGGATGATGCATGATCCTCACATGAAGGCGGGTACCAAAGCGATAAAAAAGCGTGAGTAATACGTAAACACGCTCGTGTGTCCTTATATACAACCTACATGTACCTACAGCTACGGAAAATTCCATGAACCTTCAAGACAATACACACCCTACTAGTATCTAAATATTGTAACTTCCTGACAACTGCTTAGATTAAATGGCACTCCATTCCTGATGACTAACCATTGCCCAAATACAATGCAATGAGTGTCTACCGAATCTCTACAGAAACCAATGTTAAAGAACAAAATACATTGACATATAACAATACATATACCTTCTCATCAAAGAAGTTAAATCATTAAGACTTGAGTTAGGTTCATTTCTTAATTTATTTATGACTCGATGGAAGGCGGTGACCAGGCGTGTCGATGAATAGTTGTTAGCAGAACGGGTGTTTGAGTGAGTGAGTTGGGTTTAACGCCGCTTTTAAAAGTATTCCAGTTATATCGCGGCGTGTCAGCTAAATGTGGGAGGAAAGCCCAAAGTGATGCAGGTCTCAGACGTTTACCACTTCGGTGAAACCCACGAGCACTGGTATGGTGCTGACAAACCTAGGAACATAATCACAGGCAGTTTTATATTCTACATTTCTGCATAATTGTCAGAGGAAGGCCTAGTGCCGCGAGGTTTTCAGAATTTGAAAACGTGCGTCATAAAAATAACTCGGCATCCATGGTGTTAATCACTGCATTGTCTGGTCTAGACTCGTGTATTTACAGTCCGACGTCATATAGCTGTAATATTGCTGAATGTTAACAAGCAAACAAACAACCTACCTGAACAATTTGGGTTCATATGAATAGAAAAACGCTCTGTTTTTTAGATCCTATGACATTTTACACACCGATTATTCAACGACAACACAGCAGTTGAAGTATCGTTACGTTCAGCAGTACTTTCTTCATGAGTTTACGGTCAGAGGTCTAAGAGGTAAACTTGGATTGCATCGTCATAAAAAATGCATGGCTTCATATGCATGATATATACGAACTAACTAATTGCTGAGCAAAACTACCGAGCGGGAAATATTTACATCTGTAAGTAAACAGTTTTAACACTTTATGAAATATATTATTGAGTTGTTTGCAAACTGTGCCGACAATATTTATAGGCAAAAATGCCATCTAACATTCCAACCCTATTTAATTTAATGTGAAATGTATGATTGAGTGAGTTTGGTTTAACGCTGCTTTTAACGGTATTACAGTTATATCGCGGCGTGTCAGCTAAATGTGGGAGGAAAGCCCGAAGTGATGCAGGTCTCAGACGTATACCACTTCGGTGAAACCCACGATCATGGGTATGGTGCTCATACACCTTGAAACCTAATCGGAGCGAACCGGGATTCGAACCGACAATCATAGGTTTCTGGCGTGCTTAAGGGACACAACTCTGCACAGCGGATTGCGGCGCCTTAGACGACTGGGCCACCCGTGCCCCCCGGACAGGATAGCAGTGAATATTATAGGAATGGATCAATAGTATTTCAATAACGATATCGGAGAGTTGGTGTCGCTAGTGTACATATGTTAATCTCTCATTTTGATAAAAATGAAGTATTATTATTGGTTGAGACAAATGCACCTGGTACCCTACTCCCAAGCGTTATTAAGAGGTGCGTTCGACGAAGCCCTACCCGGTGGCTATGCTCATGTTTGAGCAGGGCAAGGTACAGCACTACTCGGAGCTACCAGACAGCTACATGAAGACCTTCACCTTGCAGTAACATCTACAATGGTGCCATGGAAACATATGTGGCGGTAGGATGTCTTTATTCGACAATGTACACCAGGTATTGATAACCAATAAGTATCAACATGTGTAGTATCATTTCAGATAAAGAAACATTGCATTGTCAACTCAAGGTTTGTTATATTAGGTGTTGGTCTTCATCCTCCTGTTCTTTTATGGGCACGATCAGGATGCTAAACGATGCTAAACCTATCTGAAAATAAAGTTATAGTTACGCGTCCTTCCACATAATGGGGACAGGTCGTTATTGGTTTGTTGAGTTAGGTCCCTTTTTCGGAATCGAATCCTATATTAATTAGCACTGATAGTGATTATGGGTAACCGTATATGGTTCAATATTGACCGTTTCCCTTCGTAATAAGAATATATCCTAATATAAGTAAGACATGGAAACTAAGAGTGTATTGATCAATGAGTATTTTAGAAAATCTGTTAAAAACAAAGACCTCACGTGTTTTAGATATTCACTCACTCATTTGTAGTTGTACGTGGTCCTGTGTACAGCACACAGATCACAAAATCAGGTGAATTTAAGAAACTATAGTCGTGGACAGAAGTTGGGCGAATGAGCCCTGAGACTTTCCAGAGCTCCTGTCCTGCCAGACACCTAACATGAGATGAATCCTTAGCCAAGTGAATTTGTTCGAAAGAAGTCTGTGTTCATCCAGCAGTGAATGGGTATGAATAGGATGGTAGCGCGACTGTTAACATCCTAGCGCCTCACAGGCAGCTCGGGTTGTAAACACCATGAAGAGCTGAGAATGAAAATCGAGTGCAGACTGACCGGGGTAATAATGTAGAATACAGCAAGAGAGATTGGGGGATCCTGGCACAGTCAGGCTTGTAGGGGTTATCATCAGCTCAGGGTCCTTGTCCCCTCTACAGTCCAGACAGCGAATGGGACTTCTCCCAGGAAGCCCTGCTTAGATGAACCCACCCAGAACTTTTCGGAGAATGTGAAGATTCCCCAACACTGCAGGCCTCTGCATTACCTACATTGTCAGAAGGGCTGTATTCCTGGAAGCAAACCCTGGTACTCTTCCAATGTCAGTCAGCAGATTGGGAGGTACCAAACCTAAGGCACCGATAACAATGGGGAGCAGGACAACTTGGTACTTGGGATGCAAGCGTGACATTTCGAGGTCTGCATATTTGCCATGTGTTTCCTGAATCTTGTCAATCACATTAGTGTCAATAGGGACAGAAAATTCAATAATATAAATGATTTCATTGGATTCATCTAAAAGGACAAGATAAGGTTTGCTGCGGTATATGGGCCTATTCAAAAGAGTTTTGTATTAATAATTTTCCTTGACGCCCTCTACATATTCTGGGTCGCACCATGGACGGACCTCTGTGTCAAAACCACAAGGATTGCGAAGACGGAAATAGAATGATCGAGCCACTCCATAATGTCGCTGAAGAAATTTTGTTTTTTTTGCCAAAACTGGGAATCCACTGACAATGTGTTGGACAGTCTCATTAAATTCATTGCATAATCTACATTTCATATTTACAGTTTAAAGGAAAAGTGGGAAGTGACATTTTAAAGCAAAATCACAGATTGATGGTTTCGAATAGGACGTGACTGGTCCTGAGCAGCAAACACAAAGCCTTCTGTTTCACTTTTCATCCAAGCAAAGGGCTCTGCAGGGTTGCTGATCCTCTACACACCGTACATAAACAGGGGGCACGGGTGGCCCAGCCGTCTGTGCAGAGTTGCGTCCCTTGGGCCGAGAAACCTATGATTGTGGGTTCGAATCCCGGTTCGCCCCAACTATGTTTCTAGGTTTGTCAGCACCATACCCGCGCTCGTGGGTTTCACCAAAGTGGTAAACGTCTGAGACCTGCATCACTTCGAGCTTTCCTCCCAACTCCCTCACTGTACATAAACGCGATGTCGTGGTCCTTCAGATAGCCCCTGAAAAACTGAGCCTGAGCGATTTGATGTGGCACTTCGCTTGGTTGACACTCATTACTGTACCGTCAAGCAGTACAGAACCATCAACAAAATCAACATTGACATTGAGATTATGTCCCACATCCCTGGCTCGTTTATCATGAGTCTTGACATGATTCAAAAGAGGATCATCAGATAAATGAATGTGTACAAATGTGAAGAGCCTCTACGTTAATGAAACCACTCCCTCCCATTAAAATTCATAAATGTAAGCGATTAAGACAGGAGCGAGGATGGTGGGATTGTCTGCCATGATTATTCTTGTGAGTTTGTCAATAGCCTTAATTTCTATTTTCGTCAAATCAACATCACCAAATTTTAAGAATACGAACGGGCACAGCAAAAGTATTTGTGACTTTATCTTTACTACGAGGGTTCAGCTCTGAGGGTTCAGATTTTTTGTCTCTGTCTGAAGTCTTTCCGTGATATGGGCATTGTGAAGTCTGTCCCTAACCTATATCCCTAAGTACGTATTGGCCTGACCTTCCAGAAGATGTTCAATAACTCCTCCGTAAAGTCTCCCCTCTTCTACCTTGGCACGTTTCAGATGAAGCATGTTGCATTTGTCGAATCCAAAGGATATGCCGATATCATTGGAAAAGGACTCGACAATGAGAATATGTTTTTAGTGTGGATCCTCCGTTTGGCAAGAAGTTCAAAGTAATACATGTACAGTAGGTGAATAAGGAGTGTTGGGGATACGTGCTGAGGAGGTCCAGAAAGATAACCTTCCTCTTTGCTAAGCAAAAAGCTTAAATAATTTTGTGACAAGCAAAAAAGCAAACCACTAAAAGAATCGCTCTGAAATATTCCCCTACTAGAAATGTGTTCCGAAGTCACCACCTGTCCCTGCGAAGATATCTCAAGTTGAGTTGACCAGCAAGTCATTAAAGACTTCAAAAGTAGTCGCTCCGGGAGGTCAATCCATTCCAGTGGCTTCAAAATCCATTTGTGAGGTACAGAACCATAACCTTTTCTCTTTCGTCTATCCAGCACATTTAGAGGATACGGTGGTAAGTTTTAGCCTTATCGATGATCATTTTGTGAACTAGCAATTTATCCTTACAACCTCAATCCCTTTATTGTTATTATTATTGATAAAGAGTACGCCAATAGTCTTCTATGGGGATGTACAACAACGAATTTATCTGTAAAGGTGATTTGCTTCTCCGTTTTCATAAATTTATCACATCACGGTCAAACTGTAATTAATCCTGGTTGTATTGGTAGCGGTGTTACCTTGTAGTTATATGATCCAACAACACCTCTTTTATTCTTTGCACCTGTTGCGGTTCAACAAAGTATAAATATATGACCAAACTCAACCCAATCACAGAAAGTTGGAACAACAACACAGACCAGTCGCAACAGAGGAGAGGTAATATGGAACCTTGAACTTCTCCATTATTGTAACATTCATCAACGTTATAGAATGTAAAATGTCAATATAAGTTAGTGCATTTGTCCACCAAGAAAAACAATATGATAATTCTCAAGCCTTCTTCAATTACAAGTGTTATACCAAATATAACTTTTGTTACATTTGACCACTTTCTAAATGGTATTGTGAATTCATAGCTCTCGGCCATGGGAGACGTGCCAATTTACACTTGTCAGAGGATTTCACAAAGTACGTGATCTAGAATAGCAGTTGTCGGACTTTCATTTTGTGGAAGCCTCGATGACTGAGTGGGTTAGATCGCTGACTTTATGTGCTGTCGATTAGGTGCCTCACTCTTGCAGTTAGGGTTCGAATCCCGGACGGGACTCAACCCCCAAATGTACGAGAATCTGTACTTTACTAAGTGTTATCCCAAATATAACGTTTGTTACATTCAATTACATGCCCAATGTTTCACGTGAGGTTTCCACAAATTCACAGAAGATGACAGCGAAGATTTGTTTGCTCCTGCTTGCAACACTGTCATATGCAAACGCAGGTGAGATGTAAGCCTCATTATTTCTCTCACAAACGTCAAAACCAAAAGCTCACATGAAACTTAAACAGACCCATAACACTGCTAAGAAACCGCTTAATTAAATATTCACAATACCAATTATGGGTTATTTGTTGCAGCTGATGCATAATTTGAATCTGTATTTGCTCGAATAAATGCACCTTCATTTGCTGTCAATATACACTGATGCGCATAACAATATATTTTCACAATCGTTTAAGGTCGATGCCTTTACAATATTTGCTGGAATGGAGGAACCTGTTCCATTTTAGAAAAGACTAATGCACTGCAGTGTAAATGTCCCCCTGGTTTCCACGGATTTGTTTGCGAGAGTAAGTATCATTTCATAGACTCTTATCTGCTTAACAAGAAAGAAATGTTAAGACACATATATGTCATAAGATACACAGCAGCGAACGCACACACATTGTATTTGACATGCTAGTCATGACGAAGGACACCAACGGATTGAGAAATGAGAAATTAAGCAATATACCAGGTATATGAGGGCGGTTTGTACATAATCGAGGCTAGACCAGACACTTCAGTAATTGACATCAGGAGCATCTATCTTCGCAATTGATATGCATCAAGCAAGTCAGCTTGTCAGATCACCCGATCCCGTTAGCCTCTTACAAGCATGGGTTGCTGACTCGGAACTACACGAATTTTAGTAGTCTTAGATTATGTAGATATGAGAAAAGCTATCCATTCAACCCCTGTGCCTCTGAAAAGAAAACTTGAATATTCAAAGACAAGACAAGACTAAGACAGAGTTTATTTTCACTAACACTGAAGCCTATCTCATATTTTAGGAAGCTCATGCAAGAATATGGAGTATGAATATAAATAAATAAATCTGTATTTAAAGTACGTTGTAACATTGATCTTCATGGTCAACTTTGCAGCCTCCGATTCGCCATGCACACGACAACCTTGCTACAATGGCGCAACGTGTGTAGATGGATCCGGAACAGACTACAGGTGTACATGTACAGATGGGTTTCGGGGACAACATTGTAATGGTGAGTACAATACAATACAATTCCAAAAATAAAGTACCACACAAGTCTCCGTTAAACACACGTGCCACATTTATTAAAACAAGCAAAAACCCCATCACATCTAATATAACGTGGGACAGCAAGCCCACTTGATGAGTATGACCTTGAAGAATGTCATGATGTTTAAAACTGCATGTTTATGGAACATTGGTATCTTCAAAGGGCACATTAAAAAGTAGGACATATAGGCCATCGTGCAAGCTATGCTATTGAAGGGTCACGTGACGTTGTTGAAATGTATACATTTATCTAAGTATCTCGATCATAAGTTGGGTCGATGTCCCTTCACCGGAACTGGTCAGGGATAACGTCACGTCCATCTTAAAGTTAATGTATGCCGTCAACGCCAGAGAATAACATATCTTGAATATCTGTAAAACAGATTCCATCGGGCATAATAGGTGAAATGATAAGGGAAATTATTTGAATGAATGAGTAATGACACTAGATGTTCGCAAAAGGGATACGTACAACAATTGTTGTGTACATACTCATGTCAGCTATTCAATATTTTCAAAACTGGGCGATGTGTTCAATAAAGTAATAGGTTTGGTACCCGTGGTGATTCTAAGTTGCTACGAGGCGACTAGATGGATCGGTTTGTTAACTCGCTGACGTGGATTACGTTTCATCGTACCTATTTCTCGTGTGAGGTTGCTTACAAAACTATCAAAGCACATTAGAAGGGTGATCTCCACTGAAACGTTCTATGTACGTTTAAGATCTCTTTTAATTTGTTTATGAACCATTTAAAGTGTTCCCGCAATAATGCGGCAATTTGTACATGTCCTCAACCATGTCTACCACAAAAAAAATACATTTTACAAAGGCCCTGATTTGTGTGATGCAATTTGAAATTTTCGACTGAGCATGCAACATTGTACTTCAAACGTTGTGAAGGCTAGAGGTGCGGGGCTATTGCTCAAAGGGAAAGGTACGATTTAAGAGTTGTGCCTACAGTCCCTCTGATTCTTTATGCATACATTTTATATATGGAACAGATGTATTTCACTGGATACAACATCTATTTCATCATTATTGAATGTCACATAGAAATCTACCTGAATGTGAAGTAAAAATTCTTCGCCACTTTCCTGTACTGATTTTGTCAGTCTGAACATAAATTTCGAGTTATATGCATACAGAAAAAAATACACATCTGAGATTTACTGACTGGTTGCTTTTATTGTTTTCAAATCCAGAGACAGATTGTTACACACGATCATGTCGAAACGGAGCAACTTGTAACACCATGCTTGGATGTATATGTGCAGCAGGGTATACTGGAATTGATTGTGAGAGTAAGTATGAAAGCATTGTACATATGTTTAAGACAGTTCTACCCATATCCTCGGAAAAAGAACTGAACATAAGGTATGCATAACACCGTGTATGCGTGGGTATTGCAGGAGACGATACCCGTCTTTAGATACAATATCTTACTGTTGGAACTGCGTTTTGGGGGTTACTGAGCCCTACTACAGTTACTCATTTTATTGTCGTCCCGTGTCGTCATAGGCAAGGTAAGCCATGACTTAGCAACTCGCTTGGTCAGAATCAGGTCATCTTGGTCAAGGAGTGATTGGTCTATTGACTCTTACTCTTAACTGCCTCTATCAACATTCATATACCGGCCCTTGCACACAAGGACTGGACACAACACACGGGTTATACTCGCATACTTTTAATAACGCTCCAGTCCATCTTCAAATATAACTTCTACATAAGACAGGATAGACTCGTCATAGCCCGGACAAACGGAGTGATCTCGATCTGCCTCAGTCGCTGCCAAAACCGCGCACTACCACTAGTGATTAACGTATCTCATTCAGGGGGTCGAGTCTAACGTTCCTTTGTCACATGTAACAATGCCTCATTTGTGATTCGTTAAAAGTTAGATCTGACCCTAAACTCATGTGTGTCGCAATCGGACAAATACTGAAGCCTACGCGCCAGATTGGGCATCTCTCTATTGGTTTTGTAATTCTCTTCCTGATTCTACAAATGAAAAGTGTCTTACCTCATTCACAATTCATTAGCTAAATGACAATAATGTGGAAACAATCCACTGATAACTATGAAATGTCTCATTCTGATGATAAATGTGAAATATCATTTCTCTATTAATTGATTTCTAACTAATATCTCTGTCTCCAAACTTAATGTATCATGCAACTACATCAATGCAGCTATCAACGGTTTAATTTGTTACAATTTTGTTACCATTTGGTAATGTTTTTGAGACGTATTTTAATTTCATAACAGTATAGAAATCTATGCAACATCATTGCTAACAAGACCTATATAGTGTCTTGGTCAACGAAGCAACAAAACACTGATTTCTAGTTTCCAATCAACCCAAGAGTCCTTTTCTGCTCATCGATACTCATTAAACAACTAACAATTTGGATTTTAGTGAGTTTGTTGGTAGGATGAAACGCATATACGTATTTTTCATACACGTAGGTCACATTGATTGTCCATCTATCAGGTGCTCATAAAGCATTTTTGTTTAACTGTACAAAATGTTTACGCAATGCCACGGCTGGCTGAACATCAACATCTATGGGACGTGGGTATTTTTTAAATAGAGGGAAGTAACGATTAATGCGCGTGTTTTCACATGTTGTTATAAACCTTTTGTGGCAGCCTACCATAGCTGTACTGCCATAGCCGGCAGTTTGTGCAGACCTTTGCCCCATAGAAACTGTTTGGGATGAGGTGGAACGACACCAGCCGGTAACGCTTGCTCAATTGGGCCAGTAATTTGTTTCACGTTTGGAACAATATCCACCACACTGTTTTTAATCATCTAATGTCTCCAATCGGGGTAACGCTAAATATTGACATTGTTTATTGAGTTGTTACGCCTCTCCTCTTTTAGGGGTCGCTCTGTCTCCTGTTACCAGGTATGAGTTCTGTCAACGAATTGTTAATGATAAAACATTGATCAGACGAATGACCGAATATGATATTTATTTTTTTAAAAACATAACATTTACACCATTTACATTTATGTGAAGTACACTTACTTTTTACCTTCAGCATATATCGATTTATACATGATGCAGAATTAAGTTTATGGCAAGAAATAGTATGTGTCCTTTTTGCTGACGCGTGAAATATTCTTGTTAATATCGAATGCATGCAAATATTACTGATAACTGTTGACGTTCTTGAACTTGGGTTTCCATGAATCAGGAAATATTAAATTACCCGTTTCCTATGGATATCTGCAATGGTTTGTATTACCTGGAATCAGATATTTTCTTTTTTTTAATGTTGTTTAGTGACAGCAATGTACATGTCACTCAATTTAGTTGATTGAAGATTTATTGTCTCAGGCTACGTTATATTTGGTTAACATTTGGATAACTTATCAAAATATCAGGATATATAAATGTTGGGATGTTTAAGTTTGGTTTTCATACAGTTGTTTTTCATCAGAAACAATACAGCCTCACGCTAGTGTATATTTGGTTGACACTATGTCCCCTGTTGGCTGCGATTCCAACTTGAATATCTGTTGTTATTTTTTTATATCCCATTGCGACGCCATTCCTTTTTTTGGCAAGACAATGAACAGCTTTGTAACACGAGTGACAAATCAAAGAAATTGAAGATGACCCATTTGTTTATATCTTTATTGCATGTTGATATACCTGCTCAATGTATGGAAGCAGACAACCTTCACCGGACGATGCACACTTAGAAAGTGAGCGTCACTGTTATAACAAATGAATGTATATATACTGCTTCTATTGATTTCAACTACCATTAAAGAAGCTCGTGTGTCGTAACCTAACATGATACATCTGCTGCAATCGTCATATTATGGAGGAAATAAAGAACATCTATCTTGGTTATCCAAGTGACCAAACTAAATCAATTGATCAGACTAACTTACGTAGTCCTCTTTCATAGAACAAGGTTGTCTATTTAAGTAAAACTTTGAATCCTTGATTAGACAGATGAAGATTTTGGTATCTATGTTTTTAAACAAACATAAATTCAAATTGCAAATTATCATGATCAGGTTTACCAAGGTGAAATACATGTTTTTTCTTGTTTTAGCACCTCTCAACGGTTGCAGGAATGCAACCCAAGACTGTCACCCTAAAGCTTCCTGTGTCAAGACTAACGGGTCCCATGAATGCCAGTGTTTACCTGGCTATAACGGAGATGGAAAATCTACTTGCAACATTACTGGTAAGTGATGCTGGGGCATAACTTGTTGCTACATCTGATATTGCCCATGATTTCACATAACTGCATTTACAACTTTGAAGTTGTTTGTCAAAAATTCCTTTGAGACAAGATAAGGTCCATAATACAAATATATCATGCACACGTTTTTAAACTGGAGTAGTCATTTGAAAATGAGACAAAGATGACTACAACGGCTCAACATCTTGAAATTAAATAGGCTCTAGCATCAAATCGTCCGTACAGATAGAAAGAACGAAATGTTACAATCATCCCATCAATTATCTAACTCATGTACTCAATATGAACTGTGGATATATTAGTATTCATCAGTGTGAAAAGAGTGCAACAGTCATGATTCATTTTAGTTTTTTGATCGAAAAATGTTTAAAAAGCATCTTCTGTCAGTGTCTCGAAAAAGCGTCGCTTGATATTTCCTTTACAGACAGATGCCTCGAAAAGCCTTGTCAGAATGAAGGAATCTGCACAAGTAATTCGACTAACTTCAATTGTAGATGTCTGCTCGGATATACTGGTCCTATGTGTGAAAAAAGTAAGTAATACTGTACCAGTGAAGGCCAACTGGTGTGGCTTAATCAGTTTAGGTCCACAACACCAACCTATTTTTCTCACTAGTAAGTATACAATTTGTACAAATATTTACATATACGTTATGAAAAAGACTTGTTTATTAACATCAATCGCAGGCTCTCCTCATTCTGTCAAGTTCCCATTCTACTTATGTATCCATCATATCTATCAGTTGACTAAAAGAGAGATTGTTTTCCGCCAGGTTTATTGTATATAGCTATCTTAAACAAAAAAGTGACCAATCCCTTTTTCTTGAATTGGTAACTATAATATGCTTACAATAGATTTACAAATCAGCTCCATGCTGGCTAGTGTTTTCTCACACATTCGTGTTTTATCGACTTGAATCCGAACTACTGCGGAATTGAGATTTTGAAAATAAATAATCTGGAATTGGTCAGGCAAACATGTGGTTGATGTTATGAGAAACGTTCGTTGCGTGTGGTACAAAATGTCAGCCTGACCACAGATTGAATTTAGTGGCCTCTTATGATTGCTGGGGGCCTTACAACAAGAAATATTTACATGCTAACACTTGTTATCTTTAAAGAATGTGAGCAACAGAAAATGGACATTCTTCTCATAGAGGACATTTCGACATCAATCTCTGAAGAGGAATACAGGACGATTAAGGACTTTGAAATAGAAATGGTCAGTTATTCCCACATAAATTCCAGCATTGTGAACGTGGCTCTGATGGTGTACGCAGGAATGGCGAGACTAGTATTTCCCTTGAATGCATACAGTGACAACAAGACAGCAGCTGTTAACGCTGTTAACGCCCCACAACTAGTCGGCGGTTCTACATTCCTCGGCGATGCTATCAACCTGGCTGTATCTGATGTGTTTGTGCAGAGCAATGGCGACCGTCCAGATGCTGAAAATGTTGTTATCTTATTTACGGATGGCAAAAGTAGTAAGAAGTCTGTTATTCATAAGAACATTGGAAAACTTATGACAGAAGCAACCGTTTTCGTAGTTCCAATTTCATCAGATATCGACATGGCTGACATAAGCGAGGTGGCTTCGTCTCCTGATGAGGAACATATTTTTGCTGTGAAGAATCCTTTGGCCCTTGATGAAATCAAAGAAAGAACCATCTATAAGCACTGCGGACGAGACGTGGCCCTGAAGGAATAGTCTTGATTCAGGTGCTCCTTATCATATTCAAAGAGAATGAAACGATTTCTAATACTGTTTAACAGTTGGAATAATAAATGATATGCATATTACACTATGATGATGTTGTTTTGTTTTGCTCAATAAACAATCACCCGAAAGAGAAACATATATTACTACACTTTTAGAACATATTTTCTCTGCAAGCATCCCTTGGCGCATGGTGAAATCAAGGGAAAATATCTTGAACTGCGAGACATCTTTACAATAAAACATCAATGCCTCTAATCCAGCTACCTTCACAAGAAAGGTATATGCAGTAACTATTTCATGACCTTGATCCTGAACGTAACTCGTCACATGCTTCATTTTTGTAGCTGAAAACAAACACATTATATAAACACAGGGGGGAAGGTTCATTGCACAAAGATGTTGAACTAACTGACGACTATGACCATACCCTGCAATTAAATCAATCAAGGCCATACAAATCCAATGCTCCACTGCAGTGATGATATGTACCGAATTTGATCCTTCCACAGTGAACACTATCACATTTCAAGTGTCAATATGAGCTTCAGTATCAATGTAGGATCATTCAAAGGGTTATGTAGAATAAAACATTGAAGCCACACACACACACACACACACACACACACACACACACATACATACATACATACCCATAATTTACATCCATGCATCCATGTTATGGTACATGCAGCCATACATACATACCCATAATTTACATACATGCATCCATGTTATGGTACATGCATCCATGTTATGGTACATGCAGCCATACATACCATGGACACATACAGCCAGGTAATAATCAAAGGTACATACTGAATACAATGTAGGTGGGAAGCGGGTGTATTGATCTGTTGTCTTAATCATTGACCCATCAAGAGTGTCAGTCAGCTTATATAAAATCTTTATAACCGGTGATATTGTGATAACTGCCACACCTGACTTATTTGTCTGAATGGCGCGTCTGAAAGCAAGGGGCGAACCGTTACACAGTAATTCGGGGTAACAATTTTCTGTGCTATAGAATCAAAGTACCCGCGTGCTACATGTATATACAGTACATATATGGTACGATGATGTGTCATTTCTTAATCAGTACGATTTATAGTATAAGTATTTACACTTAAAGTAGACACATGTTAACAATATTATTGACAGAGAGATAAATAAACGCAGGTCTGGTTAGAATTATTTCCTTGGTTAATTATAAGTTGCCATTTAAACACTTTTCCATGATGAAAGAAATGATGGTGCAGAAAACAGACGAGCAATTTACACAATAACCGCGATGCAATCGCGTTACTCAATACAATACACAAGGAACAATATATGGTGCGCTTTTATATTATTTATTCCTTACTTGATATCAATTATTCGTTTATGGATACCAAAGAAGGAATTTATATCAGAAATTTGATTTATTAGATCATGAAATGTTTACTGATATCGCAAATCGATTTGTAGATATCAATAACTGAATTTATCATATCAAATAATGTCCTTTATCATCTAACAAATAGAATATGGTATACTCTCTGTAGCCTTAATAGTTCGTTTAGATAGCTACAGTATCGTAACATTTACATACAACCCCGCGCTCACGTCTGCTGGTCTCCCTTCTTAGTAGAGCCCTCTCCCTCAAGTGTATGCTCCATGATATAACCTACTCTCATTAATTAAATGCTGCCCTTTCCCAACGTCACGGCTATGGAGCTGAGACAAAGAGACCCAGACATCAGCAAGTACATATAATGTAATGTGTATTGACATTTTTCGTCACGATATCAAAAACTTCTCTCCTTGTTACCACCTCCAAGTTCAGCTGAACAAGGGGTCCTCCTTTTGTCGAAATTTTGTCACATGCACTGGCCTCAAGGGTCCATATAAGCAAAGAAAATTCTCAGGGCAATAATGTTGTTGTTGTTTGTCGTTTAACGCCACACTCAGCAATATTCCAGCTGTATGACGACGGTCTTTAAATAATCGAGTCTGGACCAGACAATCCAGTGATTGAAATCATGTGCATCGATCCACGGAATGCGGATGCATCAACCAAGTCAGCGAGCCTGACCACCCGATCCCGTTAGTCACCTCTTACAACAAGTATAGTTGTCTTTCAAGGCAAGCAAGGGTTGCTGAAGACGTATCCTGAACAGCAACAACCTTCTTTGCCTCTACAAAAGTGGAACAAGCAACTCTGTTTGGATTTAGCAAATCCAGATTCAGCTAAATATTTATTTCATGGAAATGTGATGTAAGTTTTGGCTTAAATAAATGGCCGAGTGTATATGATTTTTAAATTGATTATTGCAATTTGTTTTGGGCAGAATACAAATGTAGACATAAGCAAATCTTCAGTTCAGTGCTGAATAAAGTCGCAAAAAAGTCAAAGCCACAAATACTTATGTTGTTCCCGTACTTCCATAGTCTTTTGGTGTTGTTGATTGGACGAAACACCCTCACACAAAGAATCATATCGGACAACCGATCCCACCACCCTCGCCCTCACCTCAATCGCCGATATTTACCAGTTATAATTGGAGGCCTTGGTTTCATTAACGTGGAGGCTCTTCACGATAGAATTGTATTGTTCACTTTTGCACACATTTATTTGTCTTACATTTCTCTTGTGAAGCACCTCTTGTGACTGATGATGAAAACAAGGCATTCTTTAGTTTCCTTAATCGAGCCAAGGATGAGGGAAATAATTTCAATGTCTGTGTTGATTTTTTTGGTGGTTCTGTACTGCTAGCCGGTACAGAAATGAGTGTCAAACAAGCGAAGTGTCACATTAAATCGCCCCAGAGTTTTTAAGGGAGAGGCTACTTAAACAAGAACAACATCGAGTTTATGAGCAGTGCAAAAGTGCAACAGAAGGCTCTCTGTTTGCTGTTCAGGACCATTCACTTCCCACTCAAAACCGTCAATTTGTGATGTTTCATCAAAATGTAAATATGAAAAGTAGATTATGCAATGTTTTGCAATGCACGTCAATGAGACTGTCCAACACATTGTCAGTGGATGTTCAACTTTAGCTTTGGCTGCCCAAAACAGTATCTTAAGCAACATGGTGACGGGACTCGATCATGGAAAATGATAATACATTATTTAGAAATAGGCCTTCACACAGCGTCAGACCTATACAAGCCAACAAACCTGATCTTGTCCTTTGTGATAAATCCAATGACATTATTTATATCATTGATTTTTCTGTCCCTTTTCAAAATTAATGTGATTGACAAGATTCATGAAAAACATGGCAAATAGGCGGACCTCGCTTGCCTCCAAAGTACCAAGTTATCCGACTGCCCGTTGTTCTCGGTATCTTAGGTATTCTTATACTATATTCAGGCAATATATTTATATATTATTGTTATATGGCAAATATTTGTATTTTGCAACTTTCTGTGACTTCACATTCGAGGAGAGACGTCCTCCGGGAGTAAGATCCGCGGCCTCAGCTTCTACACACCGACTTGAATCCACGCAGTTGGGATCGATGACATGCATCAACTAAGTCAGCGATACTGACCAAGCCATCCCGTTAGTCGCCTTATACGACAAGCATAGTCGCCTTTTACGGCAAGCAGAGATCCTGAAGACCTATTCTACCCCCGATTTTAACGGGTCTGTTCCTTATGATATTCTGAGATATTACAGGCGATGTACAGTTTGTTTGGGTGTCGTTTAACGCCGCACTCAACAATGTTTCAGATACATGACGGCGGTCTGTCAATAATCGAGTTTTGACCAGACAATCCAGTGATTGACATCATGAGCATTCATCTTGCTTTTGTTTCGTTTGTTTGTTGTTTAACGCCACACTCAGCAATATTTCAGCTGATCAATGCAATTTGGATAAGATAACATAACTTACGACAATCATACTCGCCTTATAGAAAAAGCAAGGGTTGCTGAACACTTATTCTAAGCCTGATTTTCACGGGTGCTATGACAATTAGGAGATAAACATACTGTGTTTTCAATGTAGAGCTAGGTTACCTGTATATTTAACCCCGCTAAATTGAATTTGGAACCGAACGCGCAGCTCTACATTGAAAACACAGTATGTTTATCTCCATTCTACCATGACTAAATAAAACGCGAACTCGTTGGTGTTAGCAAATATACTGAGTGAAGCGGCATGGGTTGAGTTCAGTGTTTTGAGTGGGTTATCGATCTGAATTACGGAATCACCGAACAAATTATGGTGCCGTATATACTCAAGCAGTTTGTTTACACCGTAATACTTCACTCTAACATATGACAGGTATTGAAAGCATATAAGCACGGCAGCTTGGTAAGCTGACATGAGGTGGGCATCCCTAAAGAAAACAAAGCAAGCTTTGCAAGGCTTTCGCTCTACATCTCACGTCACCATTATGACGTCATATCGCTCATTGTGACGCAAAAGATATGACGTCACAGTCGTATATAGAAAAGCGCCAAAATTCCAAGCTCTCTGTTGTCTCCAAAACGTAAACACATTCCTTTTGTTAATTTCTGTCGTGTTTTTCTGCACAAAATGTATTGCCACACATCCTTTGAATATTGTAGTAACCGCATCTGTGCATTTTGTAACCTGTAATTGTAGATATAATTATTTAAATATGCCTACCGACAATGACTGAAAATAGTACTATTCTATGAATATTAGCTTCCGCTGTGAAGCGGCCGTCAAACCAGCTGTTTCAATCAGAGGGGGTTTATTGTGATTAAATAGCCTCTGATTGACCAATCAGAATCGAGTAAATTCCAAATTCATGGTAGAATGTAAGTATCAAACATCTATCATGACCTTGCACATATATAAATAATCATACTGAGGGTGTGTAAATTCGAATTTGGTGTTTCTGAGAGGTCAGTAATTCTGTCACTGAAAAGAAACGACCAGCTGTGCAATGAAAAGTGTACGTAAGGTGAGATGGAATGGGGTAAACGTCGTGTGTGTGTGTGTGTGTGTGTGTGTGTGTGTGTGTGTGTGTGTGTGTGTGTGTGTGTTCCAGTTTCTACGTTCCCATCTCTGATTGTCAAAAACTACTTTTGA